GCTGTGCATTTTGGGGTGGCCTTGAGCTCACTCTATAGCCCAATATGGTCTCAAACTTGCAATGATCCTCCTGCTTCAGCTTCCCAGTTGCTGGGATTATAGGCATGCTCCACCATGCCTGTAATCCTGACTAGAAAAGGGATTTAAAAAAAAAAAATGGATAGAAGGATGCATGGAAATAAAGCTTTTGTAAATGGGAAGGGGGAGAAAGGCTGAAGGGAGCAGAGACTAGGGAGAAAGGGATTAAGACATATTACGGATGGGTACTAATCCCCAGGATGAACGTGATCATTATGGCAAACACACACTGAAAAACAGAAAAGAAGCCATAGCTGGGCTCCGTGGCACATATCTTTAATCCCAGCATGCTCAGAGCTGAGGCAGGTGGGTCACAAGCTGAGGCCCATCTGGGGCAACACTGCAATGGAGCAAAACCTTGTCTCAAAATAAAGGACCAGGGATGCATCTTGGTGTTAAAGTCCTAGATTCAACCCTCAATGAAACAAACGTAAAGAAACAAAGCCAAGCACTCTGAAGAGGGACAAGAAGAAAGATACCTTACAGGGCCTCAGAAATCGGCAGGATCCTATCCATTCCAGGATGAAGGGTACACAAACATAAAACCTTTCACTTGCAAAAACAGGTACCAGGATCCCTGCTTGCTCCAGGAGCGCTGCTGAGGGAATGGATTTGTTAGGATTCAGTTCATCGTACTCAGCCAAGCAGGCCCTCAGAGGCCTCAGGCCCCACAGTCCCAGTGCTGGAAGGCAGAATGTAAGAGGCTCAGGCTCCTGAAGGCTTCTGCCTGGCTTTCAAAGGAAGGCCCCCAAGAGGCCACATGATGTGTGACAGGCTCCGAGTACCTGCTGCATTCTCTCAGAGGGCCATGTGTACAGCTGTAGGGTCAAGACCTTGGGAAGAGGAAGATGCCAGGAGTGTGGAGCGCCTGCTGAGGAGAACTGTGGGTTCCGAGCACAGCCCCAAGAGATGCTGAGGGCTGTTACTGGGCCAGGAATGGGCATGGGGCGGTCCCAGACCTTTGGAGCACACAGCTCCTAACCATGTGCCCCAGGTAACAGACCTGAGGCTATCGGACTGTGTTCCCCACCGGGCTTCCTGAATATTTGTGTCTCTGAATAATCATGGAATTTTCTTGTTACGTACTATTTTCTCTTTCCTATTTTTTTTCTACTGTCCTTTTATAAAACCTAATGTCTGATTTGACATTAAGACTATTATAGCCTCTATGATTCTTCTTCCCCCCTCCCACCCTGGAATTGGGGACTGAACTCAGGCCCTTGTGGTTGCCAGGGAAGCACTTATTCTACTGAGCCATCTCCCCAGCCCCACCTCTATGATTCTTAGCCTTTCTCATTATTCGTTATCATCTCCTTCTGCAGAATAAATTCTGGACAGTTTCTCTAGATTGATCTTTTAGTTCACCAGTTTCTTCTTCAGCTATATCTAATTTTATGGACATGTTAGTATTCATTGTATTTTTATATCAATTTATAAATTTTATGCTTCAAAAATTTTATATTTATTATCTGTTTATATTTTTATATTATTTTAAATTTATGGTATTTATTGTTTTATGTCTGATCATTTAAATATCTGTAATATCTTACAGTCAGTTCTACTGTGTATGTTCTGCTAGTTTTTTTCTGAGTCATTTCCTTATGTATTTTGTACTGTAAATGCAATCTTTCAAAAAATATTTTGTAGGAATAATTTGAAATTTGGGCAGAAATAGGTTCTAGCAGGGCGAGTCTGCGTTGCCTCTGCCAGCCATCGGGCGCTCCATGGAGCTGACGCCACAGCAGACTCATCTCCACTGCCTTGGGATCGCACAGACACTGCGGCTTTCAGCAGTGCATCAGGATCCATTCATGGTAACGGATTTTCAAAATTTTTCTTTCAGCTGGTAGCAGACGAAAATTCCCTCTGGTTGGTGAGGGCAGTGTTCACTCTTGAAGCGCAGACGTGATGACCTGGGTTCTTCTGGGGTTTGGGTACGTGTGTCTAACCCTTGGTGCCAAAGGGGTGGTGAAGGTTTAGGTGCCAGGCCTTCCGATTGCTGGGGGTGTCCTGGAAGGGGAAGGTGGGCCCCAGCCTCTCCTCCTCTCTCCTTCCTTCTCAGCTGCCGTGGGAGGAGCATATTTTCTCCGTCAAGACTGCTACCTCACCACAGTCTGAAGGCCTGAGGCCCAGTGACGGTGGGCTGATGCCTCTAAGCTGCGAGCTGGAATCCCGCCCCTCTGCCTTAGATGCTGAATATCCGGGGCACTTGTTTGCAGTAATGGACCGTGAAGTAACCCAGGGCCCAGCTGGTCCAGGAGCCCCTGGTCACGGTCTGTGCTTGGCAGGCCCTGCGATAAGCCTCCTACCCTTCCCACACCACACACGCAAGCAGGCGCCTAGGGACACCGTGCTCCACAAAATCCTTAGGGGAAACACTAGCCTTGGGACTGACCTCCCAGGATGCCTGGCCCAGGGATGTTTTCCTTTTTGTATCCATTTTGTAATTCTTTTACAAACACTTGAAGAATTTATCCCTCACTTGTTTTAAGAGAATCATTCTAATCTACCATGCTCTCAGAAACTGAAGTTTGATCTATTCTTTCATGACTTTGCTTAATAAAATTGTATTCAGTAGCTCCATTATGCCAAGTGCTTCAAGGCATACAGTAAGCTAGCAAGCACTTACTGATGTGAAGGTGTACACAGGAGAACCAGGACACAACAGACAGACTGTGAGTAGTAATGGAAGATGTCAGGACGTATGTCTAAATGTGCCCTGCAAACCTCATGTATTTGTAGGTGGGGCATTTGGGAGGTGACTGGATCATGGGGGTGTGCCACTGGGGTCAGCCCACAGGGGGTGACATTAGGAGGTGGGTCATGGTGTGTGTGGCGTGGGAGGGATAGTATCCCTCTTCTTCCTCGGCTCCTCTTGGCTTCCTCCCTGCCATACATACCATGCTACTTTTCCCCTGCCATGCACCGTGCCTTGGAGCCAGCCGACTATGGACTAAAACCTTTAAAAGTGGCAGGTGAGCCAAATGAACCTCTCCTCCTCTGTAGTGCGTGTCAGGTATTGTGACACTAGGACATAAGATATGATACAGTTTTTCAACAAGGGAAATAAGGGCCAGTCAAATAGCTCAGTGGATTAAAGCACCTGCAAGCAGGCACAGGAGCCAGGGTTTCAATCTCAGGGCCTGCTGTGCTGGCCCCACCCCTGGGGCACACTGAGACTACAATTGAGACTGGGTGTGGTGGTGCATGCCTGTAATCCCAGCTCTTGGCAGGCTGTAAACAGAAGAATCATTAGGAGTCTGATCTAGTAGTGAGACCCTGAACACCCAGTAGACCCTTCCCTAAAATACAAAAAAAAAAAAAAAAAAAAAAAGAAAAAAGAAAAAAGAAAAAAGAAAAAAAAGAAAAAGAAAAGAAGTGAAGAGAGCTAATGGGCATCCACCATGTGGACCAGATGCTTTATTTGCACCCATGAGCAGCCCTAGGAAGTGAGTATTATCTCTACTTGCTCATGAAAATGGATCTATTTCTCAAGGCCACAGCATTAGTACAGAGTGGTCCTGGGTCTTGGAAATGTTTGCTCAGATCCTCATATGGCGATGTGTCATTCTGTGGCCGTGTCAGTGTCACGGGAACAGGGGCATGAGACCTCATAGTCCCTGCAGGATGGGAGACAGGAATAAGGACTGAGGATAAGGCAGGCCTTGCAAGAAGTTTGGGATGGAGCCTGCAGGGTGACCAGGAGGCCAGCAGGCAGAAAGCAGTCATAAAGGCCTGGCAAACAGAAGAAAGAGGTCAAGCGAAGTGACCGGGCCCATGGACTCACTGGCATGGCCAGCACACCGAGACTACCACCAGTACGTGGGGGACAGGTAGGTGCAGCAGAGGAGACCCACTAGGAGGCCTTGAGTTCATCTGATGACCACTGAAATGTATTCTGCCTGTTCTGACTGTAACATGTTCTAACTGGCACACAGTATGAAGTCCGTGGCTTGCCATGCTTATTGGGCAGCAGTGCACCCCTGCATTCTTTATGTACCCAGATTATACCTTTTTTCCTAATGGGAGCTGCCTTGGTTTCGTCTGGAAGCCCCCCAGTCTGATGGGACATCATTGCCATAGAGTGGACTCTACCTCTGGCTCCAGATGACTCAGGCCAGCTCAATCAGAGCCCCGTGTCTTTATACGTAACAAGTACTTCAGGGGAGGCATAGGGCCCGGTCCAAGCCAATGAGACTCCACTCTTTGGTTTTATTATAACTGCAGGGAAGAGCACGTGTGCTGGTTTCCCACTGAGGTCTACAAGAGCCTGAGTTCCAAGCCTGTCACTGCTGGGTGCCGTCTCCTTCCGCAAGGGTAGACTGCCTGAAAATGGAGCTCGCAACAAGGAGCAAAGCCAGCGCACAAAAGTAAACTGAATCCTTGGCGCTTCATCTGTGTCCTTAATCCAGCCATGGCTACACTTCCGGCAAGGTAGACCTTCTTTAATCTCTTGCTTCAACAGAGTTATGGCTGAATTACTGCTGTTTGCAACCAAGATTCTTGCCTGACAAGAAGGTAAAATATAACCTAACCAAATTCAACGAGTGATTCCATATTCTCTTATCAGCATGTGGATGGAATGATCCTAATTGTAACCAGAAAAGACTGAACGGCTGCCGAGTGCCCTGTTTGTGACAACCATCAGAGCTGGCCCTTAGAAAGCCCCAGGAGGCACATGTTATGAGCCTTTTGATAAATGGAGAAGTGAGCTCTGGCCTAGGAAGTCACTTTCACAGAACTGCGAGGTGTCAAGAGTGTGGACGCCTCTCCTCCACTGCTCTTTCTAAGTTACCTCACAGGGGCTAGGTACTTGGTGCACAACAGACATGCCGTTAGGATTTGCGACAAGAAATCTCTGCTGCATTCCTACTCCTACAACAGTCTGGAAACGGCAGAGGACCAGGAAGAGACGCACTTACCCTGGTCTTGGGAGGGCCCAGCCAGGTTCACATCCTCAGACCAAGCCTTTGCTTCCATGTTATCAGCCGTGGTTTCCTGTGGTGCAGCCGCCATGATCCATCCATCACTGTGGACGCTGGTCATCTGGAGATGTTCCGGTGTTACCTCATAAACATCTACCTACGTATGCAACAGGGAAGGTACTTAGCCAATCTGTTCCTTCTTTATGTGAGTTGTTCTTCATTCATTCATTCATTCATTCATTCATTCATTCATTCATTCCTTAAGGACAACAATCATTTATTGTTCATTATTTAGAGCTATCTTACTAGACTCCAAGTTGTACACATGCCACGTCCTTCATTTGCCTCTAAATGGCACGTGAGTACCTGGCATTGGGTCAGGCCCACAAGCCCCAATGAAACAGGGACGGCAAGGCTAGCTCTTTGTACATCTTATCTCACTTCCTCATGACACCACTCGTGGCCAGGGAGAGATCATTAGATTATCAGTTCTCTTGGTAGAGATCAGACAGCTAAATAGCCAGTTCAGGTCTCACCATGAGCAACCTACAGAGGAGGGACTCGACCCCGGGACCCTGTGTTCCCAGCCACCCCAGAGGCTGGGCTCTCCTCCCCTTTTCTGTCTGTCTGCCTGACACTGTTGTCTTCCCCCCACCACTCCTACGTTCCCTCTCAGTTGTCTCTGTACTTCCTCCCCCCAAAGGTGGGGAGGCGCAGCTCTGGAGTGGATCTGGAGTGATGTGGGGACAGCGCCCTGCGCACAGGCCACAGATAGTGCTTGCAGTGCAACAGGAGGCACGTTAGTGAGAGAAGTCTTGTTTATGGCCGTGGAAACAGGACCAAGAGGGTGGAGCTGCTGGCTGGGAGATGGGCCAAAGCAGAACAGGATTTACTGAACTGTGCTCTGAAATATGTAGGCCAGAGATTGATGGGGGGACAAAGGAAGAGCTGCAGGTGAATCCACATGTATGCACGCAGGGGATATTTGGAAAGCTTTAGTAGCCTCCCCAGGGTGGTGCAGCGGTGACCGGGCTCATAAACAGGACAGAGTGGTGCTGGGTCACAGAGGGCCATGGCGCAAGGTGGGAGTTTGGGCTTTACCCCTTAGTGATGTGAGCAAAGTGGGGAGAAACTTGATTAGATTTGTGTCTCAGAAAGATCTAAGTGGACTGGCTTGAAGGCAGTGGAGAGAGAAGAGTTAGACCACCTCTGGCCACCTAAATATGCTCCAACTGTCAAATGAAAGGAGAACGACACTCTCTTACACAGGAAAGGAGGCCTGAGGGAGGGCCACGCTGCCATACTTGAAAGTGAGAAAAGCTACTGTGATTGATACAAAGCATGATGCACCGGAGCTTCGGGTGGGATCCTGGGCAAAGTGTGTGAAGAATCGGAGGAGAGCCATTGTTTTCACTCACAGAACCAAGAATGAAATTTTTAAATGGGGGAAAGTGACAGTAAAATAAGGAAGACAGTATTGTACCCAAACACAGTGACCATTTTGGGGTGATCTCTCAGCAGTAGTGCACTGGTGCCTTGGGGCTGCCCTGAGGACTCTTCCTCAGAGGTAGCTCCAATCGCAGTGGATTGTGTATTTTATCCCAAAGAGCATTCCCCAGCTACACCTCCTACCCCACCCAACTATGTCCTCCTAACAAAAGAGCAACTCCTAGCAATTTCTAAACTCTAGCCTACTCTATGAAGGACCCACCCTTTAGTAGTAGCCTGACCCCAGACCCGGCTTCTGCCATTTAGCCAGCCATGAGAAAACGCCCACACCTGCTTGTTCAAGGCCAGCATCCTCAGGTTCCTTTACTTCCCTCTCATGTGCTCTGGATCAACCCTGTCCTAGAGTCCACTATCAGCACTCACCTGCAGCGCCACACCCCTGGTCTTGACCCAGTGCTGCTCCCTGGCTCTGGCTCCCAGCTTTCTTAGTGGCCAACGTTTCCACCCTGTGAGTGCCGCTGCACTGTGATACTCTCTCTACGCCCAGCCTCGCCCACCCCGGCCCTCGGCCTGCTCTAGTGCGGGCCACCCCACCAGCCTGCTGCCCAATGCATCCTCGCCCTGCAGGTGGCACTGGAGCCATCTTGGGTTACAAGAGAAACCACTTCGATCCAGCATCCAGAAGGCCTCAGCACCAGCAGTAGATCTGGCAGGATGTACTGTTGTAGTGTCCTACACTACACCACAGGGGAAAGTGTCAACTGGAGGTGTTGTCACACATGTCTACATAGCTCACACTGATGAAAGAACAGTGCATCTCATCTTTATGGTATGTTGTATCTTATGACATGGTTACATATTCTCTCTCTCTCTCTCTCTCTCTCTCTCTCTCTCTCTCTCTGTCTCTCTCTGTCTCTCTGTCTCTGTCTCTCAATTCGTACTATGCAGTTCAGGGTAGCCTTGCATATACATAGTCCAGGCTGCCCTCAAACTCTTGAGGATCCTTCTGCCTCAGCCTCCCAAGTGCTGGGATTACAGGTGTAGGCCACGGTGCCCAGCTACATTTTTCATTATCATTATGAACAAGGTAGAATGGGATGTGAGTGGAGATGGAGGCTGAGCAAAAATCATAGACTCTCATTTTCACTCAGAAAACTCTTCTAAAGCACAACACAAAGCGTAAGGTGCCCCTTACTCCACGGTGGGCAAGTGCAGGATTTGGATGTGTCCCCAGCTTTGTCCCCAAATGTGTATGTTAATGGTATTTGGAGTGCGCCTCTTGGGGCAGATTTGCTCTGTCATGCCCCTCAGGGGGACCCAAGGTAGTGACTCCACTGTACGAGGCCCCTCTGGCTCGCTTGCTGTCTTTGTATAGATGTCCTCCGCAGAGCTACACAACAGCAAGAAGGCCTCCCAGAGGCCAGCACCCTGCTTACCCTGGACTTCCCGGCCACATGAACTTCCACCCTCTAAGAAATGCCTGGACGTGTATTTTATTAGAGCAGCAGAAAATGGACTCAGGTGGACCGCCGCTGAGCGGGGCTGCCTGTGCACTTGCCCTCAGGTGCTCTGCTCACCTCCTCCTACTCCAGCCCTGCTTCAGGGCCCCTTCCTGGGGAATCAGGGGAGGGCCGGCGCCTGGAGCTCCAGGGTTTTGCACTTCATGACCTAGTAATACACCGAGCACCCACTGCATTCTCCGGCTCTCTCTCTCTGGAGAGCTGCTTGACTTGATCTTGAAATGTCAAATGTCACCCCCCAAACAGACTCTGTCACACATCTGAACTATGCCCGCTGGGCAGGAATCCTGGAAAACAGGTACCTTGGCTGGATGCCTTGCGTGTGGTTCCTGTGCTGATTCCTGATGTCCCAGTTCACACGGCTCTTTTCCCTGCATGTACTTATCTTCTTGAGGGCTAAAATGTGAAGCGGTGCCAAGGAAAAAGTAAAAATTAGAGTGTGACTAGTGCACTGCTGGGTCCTAAGCGACATGAAAATGACTTTTACTACTCAGGAATCTTTTCCTTCTCATTTTTTAAGAGATCAGGATCACATTAGCCGTATAGAAAATGTACTGCTCCAATCAATGCCAGAGCATCAATTCCTGCTTAAAATCTTTTAAGCTCCTACCTTCTTTCTAGCCCCATCCATTTGCTCCTTCCCTCTACTCTGGCTTGAGTCTAAGCTCTGAGAGTCATCCAAACCCACTGTCTTCTTTGAGCAATTCTTTTTTTTATGAGCTAATCATTTTTGGATACACATTCTCAATCTTAAATCACTGACAAATAAGACCCTTCCTGTGTAGAGCATCTTACTCCTGGGATCTGCCACCCCAGCAGGCCCATGCGCCCTCTGTCCCTCTGATGCCTTGCCCTCCCATGCTGTATCAGAGCCTGAGCCTTCATTGCTCCGCTCTGCCTTACCAGCCAGTGTTTGCTAAGTGAGCCCAGCACAGGCCAGGGTGAGACCAGAGAGGAAGGCAGGCAGGACCATGAGTACCTGCTCTGCACCAAGTGTCTGCAGGGTGAGGAAACTGGGCCAGCTCCGAGCGGGTGTGCTGAGGCTCAGCCATGGGAGGGTCACGGCCCGACCAACGCTTTCCTTCCTGTCTCACTATGCAGTTCAGGCTGGCACTGAATTCACTTATGAGTCCCAGGCTGGCCTCAAACTCACAGCCACCCTCCTGCCTCCATCTCCGAGTGCTGGGGTGAGGACAGGCGTGCACCGCCCTGCCCAGCGATGCTTTCCTCCTGGAAGATAAAACTCACCAAAGTTCTTGAGGGAGACAACTCTTCCAAGGCTGAAAGTAAAGAGGAAAGGTATGATTTTCATAACCTCTGCAAATCAGGCTCTGCTGCTTGGTTACAGGTCATGAGGAGACTAGAGCAGCAGGCAAGGTGTGAGCTCTCAGCTCCTAGTTGAGGCAGAGGGTGGACACAGGAAGCGTTGTGAACTGCTGCCTCGGGGCCAGAGGCAGTCAGAAAACCATCAAGTATTTTGGAAGGTACAGGGTGTGTCGAGGAGATGCAAGGTTCACTCAGAAAAATAAGTTTCTCTGTTCACACCTTCCTAGGAATGTGTGTAGAATAAAGAACTTTGCATCACATGCGGGACGAGGCAGTATGGTGCCTGAGCAACACTTCAGTGGCCAAATTGCTGGGATGTCTCCCTTCCTGCCCATGCACCCTCTGGCCCGAACCGAGCTCTCACACCATCTAGATTTGCTCCACTGAAATGACCCCCCCGTGATCACATCTGAGCCTCCACATGTCTGGTGGTGACATGGATGATGCCATTAATATGGGGCAGCTAGCCACTGTGAAGAAAACACAAAATAAACATTAAAAACAATGTCATGAAACCTAGGACCTGGAGCTCCTCTGCTCGCCGGCCTTGGAGGAGAGCTGCAGGCCTTCACGCAGCAAGCACTGGCTCACACTGGAAACAACTCTAGCCGATGAGATGCAGCCCTGGCAGAACAACAGGTCCGATGGACCCGTATCACGGGCCCACCCGATTCTCTGCCATGGTTCCTTCAGGGTGCTTCTCCGAGCCCTCCATCCCCCTCTACAACATGGGAGTGGAGGTGCCAGGTCTCAGGTCTGCACGCAGCAAGGATGGGTGCACCTGGGCCGGAAGAAAAGCACTGCAGCACACGAAGATGGCCACGGCAGTGAGAGGGGACAACTGTCAGCAAAGCAATCACAGAAGCCAGTGTTGCGGGTGGAGTGAAGGCAGCGAGGCCCCTACCAGGGCCTAGGGTCATATGCTAAGAGCCAGCCATGTCCACTCAGCCCGTCAGGCAGGGATACTCCAAGTTATCTAGAAAGGATAAAATCAGATTCCACTCACACTGTTACAAAATGCAGCAATAAATATAAAAGATTCAAGTGTCAAAAATCCTTTCATGCTTTTTCTTGTTTGAAAGGGAGAAGACTAGGTATCTGGAGAGGTCACTTGTATAGATCAGTTTACTATTTGCTAATTTGCTATGGAGGCAAAGCTTTTAGCAGGTTTTTTCTATTCCAGTTAATAAGAGCAATAACCATTCTTTTCCTGCTACAAAGTATATGCACAAATGACCTGTCCTTAACAGCAAGCGTAAGAAAACTGAAGCAGAGATAGAGTGAGCCAGCGAGCAGAGCAGAGCCCTAATGGGCCCTGTGGAAACACGAGGCAAGGGTCTATTGTGAACCACACACTCAGAGCCTACACTTTATTTTTTATTACCGGCTCAACCCACCCTAGGGTTGGGGCTGGTGTGGCATGTGGTGCCGGGGATTGAACCATAGTCTCTGTACTTTGCCTAAGCAGATGCTTTAGACCGCTAAGCTATCTCACTGGCCCCAGCAATTCCACTTTCCCAGCAATTCCACAGAGTCAGTACTGGCCCTGTCTTGGTTACTTTTCTCAGGTTGCTGGGACAAAATACCCAACACCCCAAATTAAGGAAGGACAGTTTCATTTAGCTCACAGTTTGTGGAGATTTCAGTCCACACTGAGCTGGCTTCAAGGCAGAATGGCCCATGGCAGAGGACAGCCATTCATGGTGGCAGAAAACAGCAAAACAGTGAGAGCAGGAAGGAGGAGCAGTGGTGACAGCTGCTGAGAGCAAGCCCCTCCCCCTTCCTTATATTGCATTCAGGCACCCTGCCCACGGTGGGTGTAGCCCTGACAGCCGTAATCCCAACACTGGATCATGAATGACAACCTCTAGAAGCCTGCAGCCCCATACTGCATGAGCCTTTGGGAGGACAACTAGAGGCAAATCAGAGCAGGGCCCCTTATTTATTAAGCATCTACTGCTGCAGACAGAGGCCCGAGACTGATGGTTCTTGTCCCCATGAAGAAGTTCCCACTGCACAGAGGACGCACTGCAGCTCAGAGAAGTGAGATGCTCCTCCCGGGCCCACCCAGGCAGGACATTTGCCTGCGTCCACTTCACGGTCACCTTGCCATTATCCCCACAAGGGCCCTGGGTGGCCTCCCTCTTCCAAGTAAGGGAATGGGGAGCTGGGACTGCAGAGTCAGGTGCTGGGGTCAAGCCAGCAGTAGGCCCAAGCAAACTGCTACGCTAACTCAGGAAACACTGGGCTCCACACTCGGCAGCAGCCTGGGAAGTGGGCCTTCAGGGCTCAGGTCATTTTCTGGCAAGCACAAGATCTACCAATGTGGATTGTGCCACAGGACTGTCCCCTGCAGAAGGGATAACTACTACAGGCCAGCGGGCACTGGCTGCCGTGGAGAGGGATGGATTCATCAGACGGTCTACATTTCACCACCTGCCCTCTGGATCTGACATCATGGGGCACAGGATTCAGAATCAACATGGGGGTCTCATGCAGGGGGAAACAGAGCAAAGGCTGTTCCTTGCTCAGAGCAAAAGTACTTCACAGCAAACCCTGGTTCTGGCTCACACTGGTATGGAGAGAAAAAAATAATACCTTTGGGAGCTCTTCAATTTCAACTTCGTAAGTTGCTGCAATAAAGAAAAAAATTATTTTAAGACAGTGTGTCCATCCAATCCCCACAGCCCAGCATCACAAAGCACTGCACCGCCCCACCCTGCCCAGCGCAGCAACGCACCACACTGCACCGCACAGCACTTGCACAAGATAGGAGCCTGGTGTCCCTGCTTTTCAAGCACTGGTCTGGGGAGGCTCTGTGCCTACAGCGTGGGGAATCTCGGATGGGTGTTCATGGTTAAGTCCCTGCGGGGATTTCCAGCATGGACTTTATAGTCAGTGCAAGCATATAAAACCATTCGAGGGCCAGCCAAATAGCTCAGTGGATTCAAGCGCCTACAAGCAGGCGCAGGGGCTGGGGGTTTGATTCCCTGGGCCTGCCGTGCTGGCCCCGCCCCCAGAGCGCCCTGAGACTGCGATTGAGACTGGGCGTGGTGGTGCGTGCCTGTAATCCCAGCTCTTGGGAGGCTGTAAACAAGCAGATCACTACGAGTCCAACTAGTAGTGAGACCCTGAACACCCTGTAGACCCTTCCCTAAAATACAAAAATAAATAAATAAAACCATTTGAAGTTTCCCAGTTTAGTAACAGGTAACATATTTCATACTTAAAAGAAAATGCTGACATTCGCTGATAACAGAAGACAAACATGAAAGCAAAGAGAAAAGAGCTCACAGAATTCCGAATCTGACTTCACAAAACGAACACCACGTCATACCCTGAAATTTTGTTTGTTTTGTTGTTTGTACTTAGTGCAGGGTCTATGAGGTCTTACTACATAGATCAGACTAGGAGTGATCCTCCTGTTTTCAGCCTCCCAAGTGCTGGAATTAAAGGCGCACACCGCCAGGCTCAGTCTCAATCGCTGTCGCAGCGTGCCCAGGGGCCAGGGCCTGTAGGGCAGGCCAGGGATAGAACCCCAGCTGCTGTGCTCTGCCTAAGCAGGCGTTTAGCCTGCTGAGCTATCTGGCCGGCCCTATACCCTGAAATGTTTTATTCCTTGAGCACAGCTTGAAAAGAGGAGCCCACTGACCTCAGCTCAGTACCTTCTGGGTTTTCTCAGAGTTCTGTGGATTTTATTTAGTGACACGATCACTACCTTAATTATCAATAAATTCAGTTTTAAATTTTGGTCCTGCTACTTCTTTCCTGGAGGATTTCAGGCAAATTACTCGGTTCCTTTGAGCCTTGGTTTTCTCATCTGTGAAATTGAGTATCTCGGTACCTGCTTTACAAAGTGAATGGGGAAATTTAAGGGTGTGCTGTTAGAGAAACACACTTACAAAATCACCAGCTACTGTTTTTCCATAAAATTGCTTTCTTAGATCCTTTTTTGTTTTTCATTTTTTGATACTGGGGATCAAATTTAGGACATTATACTTCTAGGTAGGCATTTATGCCACTGAACTACCTCCTTGGCCCTTGGATCCTTTTTTTTTTTTTAAAATTTTCTATAAAAGATTCCTCATTACTGTTAATGAATTTGTATTCATCACAAGAGCCCTCTTTCTATTATTTTTCCCCCATTTTTGCTGATAGGGTCCTCAAGATTTTGCTCCGAAAACTGACAAAGCAACTTCTTGCATTTCTAAATTTTTATTGCTAACATATAACAAATTGATAAAATTCATGAAATACTTTGACTTGGGTAACTACACTTTTACCTTACTTAGTTTTTCTCTCCCTTCCTCTCTTTTCACTTGTGGAACTATAAACCCTGTCCCGCTGATCCACACCCCTGCATTCCACTAAGACATTTATCCTATTACCTACTCTTTGTTCTAAAAACTTTGTTTAGCTATTCATACTTTCAGAGATACCTCCTTATATATAATGTGCCCCATATCCATTCCTAGGATAGATCTGCTTTCCAGTTTTTAAAAATGATAATCTCAGGGCTGGCCAAATAGCTCAGCTGATTAAACGGCCTGCAAGCAGGCACAGGGGCCAAGGGTTCGATCCCCAGGCCTTCGGTGCCAGTGCCGGCCCCAGCCCCAGCCCCACCCCCCGGGTGCACTGAGATGGCAATTGAAACTGGGCATGGTGTCATGCACCTGTAATCCCAGCTCTTGGGAGGCTATAAACAGGCAGATCACTATGAGTCCGATCTGTGTAGACCCTTCCCTAAAATACAAAAAAAAAAAAAAAAAAAAAAAAAAAAAGAGAAAAAAATGAAAAACTCTCCCTCCAATTTATTTACCTGTGCTTTTATTTATTTATTTATTTACTATCAAACAAATGATGATGTCATTTGTTTCCTTTGGCTACTCGGGGGAGATAATTAATATGAACTTTTGTGTCAGATGTGAGAATTACATTGGCAGTTTATTTTTCTAAGCTATTGCTATTCTATTTATTTGACTTCATAGTTCCAAGGTTACATTTCCTCTGCTGGAATTGACTTGCGTCTCGGTAACAAAAAAGCCCAGCCTGGCCCACCTGCGCAGGTCTGTTTCCGGGTCCTCAGTAGTCCTTTGCTGTTCTGTGTTTCTGCCACTACCAGAGAGCCCGGATTACTGTGGACACCAAATGATAGAGCTGGGGAGACTGATACTTCCTACTCTTTCCTTTTCAAAATTATTTTTGCCTATTTTGCTTCCCTTTCCATGCACACTTCAGGATAATCTTGTCCGTATCTACCAAATACCGTGCTGAGATTTGTATAGGATTTGCCTTGAATCATTTGAGAAGAATTGAGTTTTTTACTGTTAACTTTAACTATGTGCAGCCTTTTATTCCACATACATGGTAAGGCTATTTACCCATTTAGATATTTTTTTATTTCATCTGAATTTTATAGTTTCCAGTATGTAAGACTCATACATGCTTTTAGATTTAAGTCCGAGTGTCTATTTTTGAAACTATAAAAGGCATTTTTTTTTTCAGGTGACTGTCCATCCTGTTGCTTGTTAGCATATAAAATACAAGTGCATCCTGTAACTGCTAAACTCAGCTCTAGGAGAGCTTGGGGGATGGTTTAGTTCTGTTTTCAAATTCCTTATGAATTTCTACTTGGACTATCACGTCACCGCGAATAAAGGATGTTCCATTTGTTCTGACACACACTTTTTCTCCCGTTTGCCTGATTGTGCCTGCTAACCTCTCAGCATCATGTGAACAGGAATGCTAAAAGGGCATTCTTGTCTGGTCCATGTTTGGGGGAGAACTGTTCAGTTTTTATCCAAAAAGGTCATGTTTAGTTAGCATGGGCTTTCTGTAAATGTGCTTATGGAGCTGTGGAGGTCAAGTCTCTTGTATCTTGTAGCTTTCCCAAGAATTTTTATAGCATGGGCGGGTGTAGGATTTTGTCCTAGGCCTTTCCTGCATATACTGTATGATTCTTTAATATACTGCTTACAGTTGATTTCACTGCTTGCTTTTCAATACTGAATAAGATTTGCATCTCTCGAACAGGCTGCACTTTGTGACAGTGCATCATTCCTTTACATTGTGCTGAATTCTATTCACTGATCCTGTTTCGGATTTTTATGACTGTCCTAGGAAGAATATTAATCTGAGATGGGTTTTTCTGGTAGTATTTTTGGGGGGGCTTTAGTAGCAGGATAATACTAACTTCATACTACTGAGTCAGGCAATAGTTCCTTTTCTTCCATTTTTCTGGAAGAAACTGTGTGATTGGTGTTCTTTAAATGTTTGGTAACATTTTACAGTAACGTAATCTTGACTTAAAGCTTATTTGGGGAAGACTTTAAAATTGTAAATTCAGTTCTTAAAGACTGTAGAGCTACTGATATTACTATTCATATTGAGTAGGTTGTGGTGTTCTGTGCTTTTTAAGGAACTGTCCCCTTTGCATCTAAGTTGTCCAATTTATATATATACGCAGTTCTTGGTAATATTTCCTCACTATTCTCTGGATATTGCCATGGTCTGATGACACACCCATTTCTTTCTTGATATTAATCTGTATCTTTTCTGTCAGGTTTGTCAATTTGAATGATCTTTTCGAAGAACAAACTTTGGATTTCATTGATTTTTCTCTGCTGTTCTTCTGATTTCAATTTCACTTATTTCTGTTCAGTTGTGTCTTTCCTGCTACCTAATTTGGGTTTATTTTGCTCTTGTGTTTCTTTTCTTTTCTTTTTTTTTTTTTTTTTGCAGAACTGGGGATTGAACTCAGGCCCTTGTGCTTGCCAGGGAAGCGCTTATACTACTGAGCCATCTCCCTGGTCCCCTCTTATGTTTCTTTTTACAGATGTAATATTATAAGTAATTGGAAACTTTTTTCTTTAAAAATCTTTTTAGTTGAAAAGAAAAAACTGTGTGTGTGTGCATGTGTATATGATGTTTTGATATACATGTACTTTGTGGAATTGCTTAATTGAGCTATTTTACATACATACAACACATACTTAAATTTTATGGTGAGAACACTACACTCTTCACAGTCTTAAAGCACACAGTATAATGTTGCTACACTCACTGTGTCATACACTCGAATTTCTGAGCTTGTTTCTCCTGGCTGAAGCTTTGCTCGCCCTGCCTGGCCCTCTCCCAGCCTGCACATCCCTCGGCTGCTACTAATTGCCATTTTACTTGCTGTTTCCAGGAAAGCAACTGTAGATTCTACACACAAGTGAGGATAACACAATATTTATCTTTCTATATTGGGCCTCACTGCTGAACACAGGAGCCTTCAGGCTCATGCATGCCAGTTTAAATGTTAGAATTTCCTTCTCTTTTTACGGCGGAGTAGCTTTGCGCCGTGGCTCTGTCCCACACTGACTGTTCCTCAGCGCTGAGATGCTTGGGCTGACCCAGGCCTTGCCCACCGAGATGTTGCTGAGTGAACAGCGGATGCAAATGTCTGGCCCTCGCACGGGCTCCATTTCCTTTGGACTTAAACCCAGATGAGGGGTTAGTGGAGCATATAGTAATTGTTCTACACTTTTTGAGGAATTTCCATATCATTTTATACGATCAATCATAAGAAACGAAACTTAATTGCATCGACTCCCCCACATTTTGAATTTTTGTTGTTATAATTTACATCTTTTTCTATTGGGAATTCCTTATCAAATTATGACAGCCACTGTTATTTTTAATACTAGTTTTGTCTTTTTATTATAGGTATTCTTTAACATTCCTTCTTCAATGCTAGCGGAAATGAACTGGACGCATCTCACACCTAACATGTTGAGAGTTTTATTTTCTCCTATATCATTTTAAATTTTGTACTAAAAGTAAAAGGGATTTATATCCTATCGGTACAGTTTTAGAGGATTCTGAATTAGCTGTGCTTACTTTTACCAGTGAGTTTTATGCTTTCCTGTGTTTTTAGGGTTCTAACTAGCATCCTTTCAGCTTGAAGAACTCCCACTAATGTTTCTTATAAGACAGGTTCCCTGGCCATTAAACATCTTCCAGTTTTTGTTCTTCTGGAACAACTGGGGTAAAACAGCCTGTGCCCTTTATTTTCCTGGAGGGAGGTTCATCTTGGTTCTGTGGAGCAAGGCAGGGAAGGGGCGGGACACACAGGGTGGCCTTATGGTGGCTTGTCCTACAGCACAGTAGTGTAATTTCTGCTGCCTGCGCAGCATAGTGCTGTAGTTTATGTCCTGCTGTACATCACAGTATTGCATGTAAGAGTTATGCATATAAAAGCAAAGGTGCAAGTTGGAGTTTCCTTGGCCCCTTTGTTCCCAGTACTGTAACTGTGCATACTGTACACACTTCCTCATTGGGCAACCGGTTCATTTAGTGACCTAGGCCCAGGAACAAGGCTCAGTCATGACATGAGAAGACTATCTATGCTCGTGTGACGTTGTGCAGCACAACCTCCCGATCCTCGGTTTCCTGTCTGGAACAGCAGGGCCATAAAACTGCTCTGCCAGTAGGGAAGCACACAGGACCTGTCACAGAGCCACAGTCCAGAGCTCAGGCTCAACACATACTTGTGTTCATTACAGCTTGAATATTTATGGATTCGGCAGAGAACTGCGTGGTTCCATAGCAGAGGACAGACACTGAAACTTGCAGAGGTGTGACCAGGGTCTGGTGTATCCTTTAACCCAACAGGCTTTCCCTTTACACAATAAGGTCTGAGCACCGCCTTCAGTACCAGAGGTAGGAGGGGTGCACTCCGAGCCACCACGCTCACGCCCATTGCCCTCCTTTCCACTGTCCAGACTGGACACGGGTGGCTAATTCTCACGGTCTGTTATCTCGCTCTCCACACACGGAGGAACCAGGGACTTCAAGAAAGATACCAGGAAAAGAGAGATGAAGTTTCTATAGTGGGAGAAGGAAGCAAAATGAACCAGCATATCTTGATTTTTCCTCCCACGTATTTACAAAAGGCAAAGCAGCTGAGTCGATTGGTGAAGAGAAAATAGACAGTGGAAACGGCAGGCACAAGAGTCACGAATAGCACTCATGCCCAACTTATTTACATTTTAAAGACATCAGACATAGGGAAAAAATAGAAACGAGGTAGTGGAACGGAATGACTGTGAATTTTGTACACTTGCAGTTAGCGAGAGGAAAATACTGTTTTTGACACATTTTAATTCCATGCGGGGTTACGATATTAATTGGCGCAGCAGACTCACCACCAGCAATTTTTTCTGCAGTGCACAGGTTAATGGAGTTGCCAGACTGTCTCAGAGATGAAATTGTTGCCTCATAATTATGTGGTTCTTCAAATTCAGCACTGAGAATCATGGAGAGAAAAAGGTTACTGCAAATAAAACATTTCTTTAAGCACATTTTAAAGCTCTTAGTATTTTTTTTCCTCCCTAGAGAAGTGCTGCATGCCTGGCCACCATGGCCCCTAAGCCAATGTGGAAGGCACACCCGCCCTCTGCCAGACACAGAGGCATTCTGGCGGAAACACAGCGCTGCAAGGTATCTTTCAATGACTACACAGCTCACGTAGAAAGCAGTACAGTGAAACCCTCTGGTGCCAGACACAGCAAGGAAGGCTATCTGGCCAGGGATATGGCTTAGTGACATAAGCACCTGCCTCCCAAGTGCAAGGTCCTAAGTTCAATTCCAAGTAGAAAAAACAAAAACCAACCAATCAAACAAAAAAAATCTAGACACAAGGGGCCCGGGAGATAGCTCAGTAGAATAAGTGCTTGCCTGGCAAGTGCAGAGTCCTGAGTTCAATTCTTGGTACCACAAAACAACAACAACAACAACAACAAAAAGCCATAAAACAACCCAGACACAAATACTATATTTTTAAGAGTCTATAATTCAAGCATAACTGATCACTAACCCAACACGTTCATAATTTCATGATAGAAGTTGGCACTGAGCAAGGATGAACAGAACCGTGGGGTGAAAAAAGGGAGGCTTCGACCGAACACATAATCAATGGAAAATCGCAGCTGCACCCTCCGCACGTGACTGGACCAGGGCAGAAGCAATTACTCACCACCCTACAGCCTACGTGCGGAAGAGGCCTTTGTATTTGGGGTTCCTTCTGACTCTCTGCCATTTCCACTTATGTTCACATCAGTGCTGTCACCGCAAGTGACAAGATGGGCACTCTCTCCTGTCTTTTGCTTCCCCATGTGTCAGTGCATCAGGAGCATGCCCTCCTCCGCTCCCCCTGTGCCTTGCACATCTTCTCTGCAATATTTTCAAAGACATGGAGTCATGAATTCTAATGCCTCAGTAGCTTCTCCCTTCACATTTTTGTTCCTCTCGCCCTGCATGAAGTGATGGAGAGAAACTTTCTGAAATTGCAGGCTACACCATACATCTCGTGCTCTAATGGCCTAACAACCTCATCAAGTCTATGGTAAATTAACTTTATTAATAAGAAACAATTTGTGGAAGAATTGCAAGAAGATGTCTAATCAATTTCTTGCACTGCTTTTGTCAGAAATGACTAAATATCTGCCTTCACATCATTAAAAAGAAAGAGTTCCAACCAAATGTTTTTGTTACATAAAGGCAACTTTCAGATCAATTGCCTTTACAGAGGGCAGGCCCAGAAAGGGAAAAGGCTTATTGTTAGAAGAAAGAAAGAATATGGTAGGTGTATTTAAACCTTCTTTGCTGTCTAAGAATCTTTCATTTATTTTTCTAGTACATTAAGGCTAAGTCTGAGAGCCACCTTGATTTTCCACAGTGTGGATCAATATAAAGAACTTGGGTGGCAGAGAAGAAATAATTCTGTGATTTAAATTTATCTAGGCTTCAATTTCTTTTCTTTTATGTATTTAGTACAGGGTCTACAGGGTCTTACTACATAGATTGGACTCATCGTGATCCTCCTGTTTTCAGCCTCTCAAGCTCTGGGATTAGAGGCGCAGGCCACCAGGCCCAGTCTCAATTGCTGTCTCACTGTGTCCTGGGGGCAGGGCTGGCACAGTACGCTGGGGATCAGGCTTCAACCTCTTTATGTCCACAGTTTTGAAAAAAATACCTGTTTCCAAGACTATATAGTTATTGGGAGGCAGCACAAAATAGCAGCTAGACTGGAGTATGGTTCTATCGGGTCTGAATTGGAATCTGAGCTCTCGCCAACTTATAAAGTACGGGATATTTTAATCCTCCATCTCCCACTCTACAAAACAGTAAGAATAATATCCACTTTCAAGGTATATTGTGGGTATTGAGTGAAGGGTTTTCCTTCTGTATATGGTATTCTACAAAAGTACGATGTGAAATCTTCATTGTGTAAAGTTCTTTCATGACTGACACAGCCTCAGGGTGGTGCATTTTCATACTTCCTCATCAGAATTCTCTAGTAATTTACAACATACATCCTAAAATCTCAACGGTTCTTAATATCTTCAACACTATCTCTGCTCCGAAATCAATAACAGCTGCATAGCTGCGACGCGATTGTTAAAGATGGTTTGCAAAACCAGGAATTTCCTAATTCCATTTGGGCCCTTCGAAGTACATCATCAATGTCTGAACACGTGGGGTCTCGCTGCTGCAGGGTGCACAAGCTTCTCCCTCTCCTGGCTGGTCCTCTCTTGAGGCTTTGGGAGGTGGCTGCAGCATTCCTAATGTCTCAATAGGATAATCTGCCAGCCCCTATCAGCCACACACTCTGAAGAAGCAGCTCAGTTTAAAGATCTGCTGTCTACTCAGTCACCTCACTAATCGCAGGAATAGCTGCTCTTTGAGGGCCTGCCCTGTGCCTGGCCCTGCATCTGGGTCCACACTGTGCGCTCCCCTGGATGTGTGATCTTACGCAGTCACAGGCTCTTATTTCCTCCAAGGACCACGGTGAGGACTCGGTGTGGACACGACTCAGCGGTCTCATGGATGACTTCTGACAAGCACAATTTGGTTTGGCTCCATGACTCAGGTGAGAGGGTGGGTCATGCAGCCCCACCACATGAAGTTTTAGAAGGGAAAAGAGTTGGGATTCCACAGAGGCTGAGACTTGCTAGCCAAACCTTTTGGTGAGTTGTCATGCTTACGTTATCAGGAAGGGAGACTCAGGCTGTGGGCCAGTTCCTCACACCTGTGGTTTCAAGGGGCCTTGCATTTGGGAGACAGGAGGGACAGGAGCAGCTTAGAAACACTTGATATTGGGGCTGGAGAGATGGCTCAGTGGTCTAAAGCACCTACTTGAAACAAGCTTGGCAAAGCACAGGGACCGCGGTTCGATCCCCAGCACCACATGCCAGCCAGCCCCGCCCCCTGGTGGGCTGAGCTGGCCACACACACACACACAATAAATAAATGTAATAAAAAAAGAAACACTTGATATTTGTGACTTTCTGCAGCTCCTGATGACAAAGGAATATGAGACTCTGATTTCTCAAGTAGCCCACATTCCAAACTGGGCAAATTCCAAGGTCTAATAAATGCTTCCTGTAGGACCACTTTCCTCATAGACTTTTACCCTGAGAAATTCTTCTGGCTTCATGCATTAAGGATCAGACTTAAAAAGTAACACCCTTCATCTCTAAAGTAGCTCTCAAAATTACTTGTACCAGGTTCACAATATATATGGTGAATTTTAAAACATTTTTTCCTCTCATACATCTAGTAGAACTGGTCCTCTACAGTGGCTAAAGATGAACTGTTGACAGTGCTGTGGAACAGAATGGCTAGAGAGGCACGGTTCAGAATGCACACGTGCGGGGTGCATCTCGGCTCCACCTGGCGTGGGCCTTGGACAGCTGATTTGACCTAAGTCCCTTTATTCTTTAATCCTCTTTGTGCAAAGATAAGATGATATATTGTGCCCAGTGCAAGGCATGGCATAGAGCACTCACCACTCTCGACGTCACCGCTGTCTTCCCCACTTCTACTCACTCTTGTACCACTTGCACTTCAACTTCTACCACCCTCCACGCTAGCTCTCCTGCTGTTACAGAGCATACAGATGCGCACACACGTGTGAATGTGCATTTCACAGATGCACACAGAACCTCACCTCCCCCTTCACTGTAACCCTGGTAATTCTACTAGGACCGCTGCAGTAGCAAAGAACAGATACAATATTTTCAGTCTCTCTCACCCCTGGCACTGAAGATTTCTTTTATTCCTATATTTATAACCCGATTCTTTCTAAAAATGATCCTAAAACTGTAACACACAAGTACTTTTGATTAAAACATTGGCTAACCTTGAAGAATATACCATCTCCTCTGGCCCAACTACGATTGAGGCAATTAACCCTGAAGCTATGTTGTCACACATTGCAGGAGCATCTGGCGGCAACTGGAGTCACTAAAGAGGAGTGTCATTACGGCTAAAGCAAGGAGGACCCCAGAGGGCTGGCCACATTATTAACAAAGACATAAGGAAGGAATAGGATATTGGCTCTAGGTGCAAAAGTAGAAAAGCTCTGAGATTTCTCACTCAATTAAGTCATACACCTTTGTTCACATTTGTTTTCTGAAACAGGTCTCACTGTATTGCCCAGGCTGGCTTCAAATTCCTGAGCCCAAGTCATCCTCCTGCTTCAGCCTCCTGAGTAGCTGGAACTGCAGGGGTGTGTCACCATGCCCCATCACTGACCCTTGGAATAAATTATACTCGGATTGGGTTTGCACAGGCTATCTAACTTCATCTTCTTAGAAGCACAGTGGAGAAACGGAGGCTTGGGGCTATTGGGTAACCTGCCCAAGACAACCCTGCTTGACGTGGCAGGGGTCTGATAGAAGATCCCTGATTCCTATCCACTGTCCTTCCCTCTATACTGCAAGTCATTCTAGAATCAAGGGGAAACTGCAAAATGGAAAATACCAAAGCCTCGGAGGAGAGTGGAGGGCAAGGAACTTATGAGAGGATGTATGTGGGGTATTTTTGCAAAACCTTTTGAAGCTGATCTGACATTTTCACAGAGCTGTTTTCCGGCATTAATCATTTGTATGGAAAACATGTTGTGGGGGAGTGGCTACAGTCTTGTGCGCCTCACATCATCACCTACATGCGAAGAGCAAGATTTACCTGCGGTGTGTGTTTCCGAGGGACTGGTAACCCAGTGCGCTCCTCGAGGGACTTTTGAAGAGCACCCCACCTACTCCTTATGCAACGCTGACAGGAAACCACTCCAAGTGCTCCTTTGGGTCACTCAGACCAGACTTTAAAGAAGCTGCATTTCAAATTCCCGAGCATCTACTTCAAGCGCCACAGTTCCTCACCCTTGTTACCTTACCAGGCAGGAAGGAGGACGCCACTGAGCTAGTGGCAGGTTTCCATGAGGTACCCAGGCTCCCGGCTGCC